GATGCTTGCTATTAGGAAAATAGACCAGAGTGCTGGGATATGACTAAATTGTGTAAATCCTGTTCGGTGATTTGGGTTCTTTCTTTTACAACTAAGCAGGGCAACATTTAGTCTCTGCTAAGTTGTTTTCCTCCCTAAAGAAGAGAGATTCTTCCTGTTACCCAAACAATGACCTGAGGATTCAAAGCTTGTCCCTCCCTGCTTGTGAAAGCTGGCACAATTCCCTGCCAATATTGGTTCATCTTTTTGAATAGGCCATTCTTTTTTCTCCTGTGTTTCTCTTAGGTCATCCTCACCTCTGTGAAATCTCTTTAAAGTTGTTTGCTCATTTTTACTCACTTGAATGCTTGGAGAGGGAGCTATTTATATCTCTAGGTTTTTATTTGTTTGTTATTCCTTTGAACATCTCTCCTTTCTGACTATATCCCATTTCTATCTCCTCCAGGTTTGAACTGAAGATGCCTTTCCATTTTCTTGGCCTCTCTCAGAGAACCTCTTTAGGACTGCTGTCATCCTCCTGAGGTTCCCTCCATTTTCACCACCATGCAGTAATCACTCTCTCATTGCCTAATGGCTAGCATCTCAAAACCAGTTGTCCGATGTTACTTTGGGCTATTTTGACAAAAGACTTCATTCTGTTGCTCTGTCTTGGTAGTGAGCAGGCTACTTTGTGACCATGCTAATCTGGATCAATGACATCCCCTTGCCTACCTTCCTAGGTATCACTAAATTAATTCTCAAAACGTCCTTTTGATCTTTTCTTCATGGTTTGAGGTCTGTTTGTGCCTTCAGAAGCACCAATGCCTGGGCACTTCACAACACAATAGAATTATTTTCTTGTTTCTTTTATGGAGGCTAATTTTCTGTCTCTGCATGCCAAGCTTAGTTACTGAATGAGAACTTGATAAATGTACACAGAAACCACAAACATTCCGTATGAGCATAAATTGGATTGTATATTCAGCTATTGATGAGAAGACTTTAAAGATGCTTCTCCCACTTTGTACTGAGCATGTGGCATGAAAATTCTTCTTGGATCATCTCCATCTCTGCACTTTATTTTTAATCTATAAAATGCTTTAATTTTTTTCCAAGGAAAAATAAACAGCAAAACAGGAGGCTCCACTTAACCATCTAAATTTGCTAACCAGATTTATGTGTATTCCTCTTGAATAGGATTATCTGAACCATGATCAACACGTTTTACAAATTTACCAAGCAAATTGTGTAACTGTGCTTCGCACTGGTGATAAAGATAAAATCTGAAAGTTCTTTTATCCATGCAAATTTGTGGTGTATAATGGAGGCAGAATTTAGACAGTTAAGCATGAGTGAAGTGCTTGCCTTGTTTCTCCAACATGAGCCTGAAGTGATGAGTAATCCTGCTCGTCTTCCCCTGAAGGAGAAGAAAGGTGGTTAAGATGGGGTGGGAAATGAACCCAAGAGATTCTGTAAGTGAAGAAAAGCAAAGGTGGGACAGCTGAGGCTCTCACAGATTTCTGGATTAAAATTTCAAATGAATGGTTTTATCTTTGCTGGCTGAGATAGAGAATCCATGGAGAGCACATTAGGAGAAAATGTCTTAAGATTGCCTTAGTATCTATTTCTATCAATTTCTACCAGAATAGTAAGACTCGTGTGTACCAAATAATACGAATTAAGTCCTTAAAAAATTTTTTGTAGAAAAATGAACATTTCTTTATTGTTTAACTGTGTGTTAGTCCTTCAAATTTGGATAGTCTTTGCAGCAGTAAACCAGTAAACTACAGCATATAGATTCAGCTAAATCATCTAAGAGATCACAACTGAATTGAATCAATGCATAATTTGGAAAATTAAGATTAAGCAGATTGGCCTCAACCATTTCCTAACCTTTCATAATTAGATACAAACGCAGGCAGAATCCAGCCTCAGAGTCCAGTAAACCAAGTCCTGAGTTGCCTGCTAAACTTCTGAGGAGATAGCAAACATGGATATAGATGCAGTTATTGGAGGTTTAGACACCATGAGCTCAACTTGGTGTTTGGCTACAGTGAGGCACAGTCACTGGAGGAATGTGTGACTTTCAGTACTTCTGGTAGATGCCAACCTAGACACTGGCGTCCACTTTCAAATGCAAGTAACACCCACAGATTTCAAAGGGTAGACATCACTAGGTGTGAAGAAGCTAGAGGCTCTTGGCCCCATAACAAGTAACAACCCAAGTATTCTATGGGCAATATTAAAGTCTCTGGTGCTAAAAATCTACACAGTTCACACATCAACTCCAATTGCATTTTAAGTCTACATTATCAAAGAATTACTGAATAGAACACTTGCCCGGCCAAGCTGTGTTGGGGTATCAGATGATAGTGTTGTATGGTTCTTTCAACCCAGCACTTCTTACATCAGACACAGAAGGGTTAAGATAGGGGCTTAGTCCCCTTCTTTCTGATCACCTCTATGCCAAGTACAAGAGAGAGCAGGCACATACTGTTTCCACCTGCTTGCCCAAGTGGGTTTATAGCATTCACTGGGGCTGTTTTTCCATTTAGCAGGCAGCATCCAAAATTTTACTGTCCTTAGAGAAAAATGAAGTCATTTATCTTTCTATTTTTGTTAGAGTGCGGATGGTGTGAATTGGTAGGAATGGCTAGGAGTATTAAGTTGGAGAAACAACGGTAGTAGTTTTACATGTTCCGTGTTAAATTCCTTTTGTTACAAACATAACTCCTGAGTAATTCTCATTGTGAAGAAGGAAGAAAACCATGTGAAGCCTACTTAAAATAATTAGAACAAGTAATATCAGAGTGCATTAGTCTTTCGGTTTAAGCTGCTGTCACACAGGGATGGCTGTTTCTTCTGCTGCTAGAAACTCCCATTTCTGTATTGGGGAGATTGTTTTTCACATCCTAACCCCATAAAATAGAAAAAGTAACCAGATTTCATTGTTTTCAGTGAAAAAAATAAATGAATCTAGACTCACAGAGATGACCCTGTGCAGAGAAATGTTAACACAGCCACCAACCTAGACATTGTGTTTAGAGGGACCTGCTTTTTAGGTGCCTATTGGTTGACATTTAGAAACTGTGTTTCAGGAATCTCTAGGCTGATTAGAACAGCTGGCTCTCTGTGCCCAAACTATTTATGGAAACAACACAGAAATTAATAAATTGGCAACTCTCCTAAAAAGTCAGGAGAAATAAATAAAAACATAAGCGATAAAAGATGCTCTAAGTTGGAGCTAAGGGATCATAACTAGATGATGAAATTCCATCAAGAACAAAGGACAGGGATAGCAAACATAAAGCAAAGCCATCAAGAAAGTCTCTAAAACAACAACAGCAAAAGCATCGATCTATAGATTGAAATAGTTTTCCAAAATAACCCAAATGCAGGTAGCTGATGAGGTAACTTTGCACTTCTCAGCTGTATCACTGAGAGACGCTAAGTATAGAAAATGTTCCTTTCTAAAGGAATATTTATTTTTGACCTAAAATTTCTACCAGTATTTTAATACAGTAGCATGTAGATGTTGTGTGAAGATAACAAGGCATGAGGTGTCTGTCTTGAAGACATCCTAACTCATGAATGCCACTAAGGATTTACTCCAGAAGCAAGCGAGTTGACTAAGGAGACTGATGACTTTCCCAACAAGAAATGGAAAAGGGGAAAAGCTGGCAGAGAAATGCAGAGGACCCAGCATAACTATCCTTGCCTTTCTATTGGGACTTCATACATAAATATGTTCTTCTTTATCTATCCTACCCCAAATTCCCTCCCGTCATTTCCTCTCCTACATCCAGATCTCATTTCCCTCCAAACTTCATGTGCTCCTTTTTTAGAAAGCCTACGGTGTCCATTTACTGTTTGTCATCCAAATGTGGGTGTGGGACCATCTACTGGAACATAAGTAACTTCTCACAGGCTGTATCTCTGAGTAAAACTTACTTCTTGCCCCAGCAGCCATAAATTGCCAGTATTTCCTCAGATAAGGGTAGGATTTCATGAGCGTCTGCATCACCCATGCTAGGTTTTTGATGGCTTGATCTTGTACAAGTCTTGTGCACACAGCCACAGCCACGATGTGCTCATGAGTGTAACGGTGCTTCTGTGTCCTGAAAACGACTTAATTCTTGATTTACATTTGTTTAACATTAATTTAAAACTTTACAGTATGCTCATAAGTAGGTGCATTGTGTTGTTAGTTTTCTCCAAGCCAAGTAACCATTATGGCTGAATGGAGGAATTGTGACACAGAACTGTCTCCATGATCCACTGTCTCTTCCTCATTCTGTCCACATTGTATTTATTACCAAGTGCACAGGTAAATGTGACAGGCATGTTTTTATCATCTATGTCCTATTTCCATCCCATCCAGGCAATGTGTCTCACTTGATAGATCTTCAAAACTATTCTCTACTGAGTTTCCAAGCCCCACCAACCAGTAGTTATATGTAGGCATGAAAGGATGGAAGAAAAACTGAGAAATGTCATAAATTAATAGGAGAAATAGAATGGAAAACCTCACAGGTTGGACATCATACCCTGTGCTGTGTGGATAGTCCATTATTCCATGCTATAAATGTGTTCTCAAGGTTTTTTAACATCCCTTAATCTCAAATGAAACCATCTTGCCTCTAAAGAGCATATTCTAGGTATAACACTTTAATAAAATAGCTAAACAAATATCAAGATAAACAACATTGTGAATAACTTATATAAAAAGGTGTCTTTTTAAGAAGTTACCAATGTTTTCTCCCATGCACTTTAGTTTACTGTCCCATGTTTATTGTATACACAGGAGAAAACATAGGTTTCTTCTGGAGATGACTTGAGAATTAAGGACTCTGGTAGGGAACAGTTTAACGTAAATGTGGCTTTGATTTTGTAAAGTAGTTTTGAGTATCTAAGGCGGCAAAGTTTTGAGGCCCCATGATATAGCCAAGAAGGAGTCCAACCCCCTCCCCCAGCTAGCTGTGTGCTGTAGGGTAAGACATGCTATGCATCTTCACCTCCAGGAATACCAGCCTTGTAACACCAATGCATGCCCAGAGCTGAAGAAGACCACACCGTGGACCCCCTGGACACCGGTCAACATCTCTGACAATGGAGGCCACTATGAGCAGCGGTTCCGCTACACCTGTAAAGCCCGACTGCCAGATCCAAATCTGCTGGAAGTAGGAAGGCAGAGGATAGAAATGCGGTACTGTTCCAGCGATGGGACCAGTGGCTGCTCCACAGACGGTAAGAAGGTCCTGTGGGGATTGGTCACTCCGTGGAAAGCCTTTGACTTTGTCTCTAAGGAAATAGAAAACTAGGGGGAGCCCCGGTTCAAACAATGTTGTGTTTATGGCAGATCCAAAATAGTTTGTGTGAGATTTACTTAGCAGAACAGAACATGATGAAAATAGTAGTTGGAATAAAAATAGCAGCAGAGCATATGATTTCACCCATCTTTAAAAAACCCCAAGTAAACAGAGATAGAAGTACATTTCTTTTTTGATACCATAAAGTGACTTTTCTGTTAAATAGCACATTTGATCTGACTAATAGTGTTTTGCCCTAGTGGTTGTGTTAATCCCTTCAGGGTGGTCATAGAAAGCCCAAGGCAGATCCAGCCCCACCCACTGCCTGGTCTAGGTATTACCTGTGATGGTACCTCAGGTAGATGTCTCCTGGAATTCATCTGTCTCCACTGCAGGAATGGTTGAACCTTTCTCTTGATATCTTCATTATTTTCTTTGGTCTTTCTTTTTTCTAATACTTTTGTCTAATTGCACAAAATATATTCTAGTTCATAAAAAAAAAAAGAGAGACACTCATGGAGAAGTTCCGAGAGGAGAGCATCATGAGAAAGACAATTAAATCTCCTGACAGAACATTCACTGGCATTACTCAACACTCTGTGATTGTGACCTTACTCAATTCTCCCAACACCAGTGTAACACAGAGTGTCCTAGTACAATCACTTTTATTTTCATAGATTGCTGTTCAATATATGGGGAGGGTCCCTCCAGTGATAAGGATAGCTTATTGGAACATGCAGATAGGGTGATATGTTTTGTAAAGTATGTTGGCATGATGCTGTGGGATGGGGGTTGCATCAAGGGAGGTCATGCTAAGAAGTCCTCTGCCCCAGGTACCAGCTATATGATGGGTCCAGTATAAAATGAAGTTTACTTGGGGGTATGAGAAGGGGGTGCTTAGAAGGGAATAGAGAGAGAAAAAGAGAGGACAGAGAGAAGAAAAAAAGAAGAGAAGAGGAGGGGAAGGGAGGGAAAAGAAGGTGAGGGAGGGGAGGGAGAAGAAGAAGGGGAGGGAGGGGAGGGGAAAGAAGGGGAGGGAGGGAAGGGGAAAGAAGGGGAGGGAGGGGAGGGGAAAGAAGGGGAAGGAGGGGAGGGGAAAAAAGGGGAGGGAGGGGAGGGGAAAGAAGGGGAGGGAGGGGAGGGGAGAAGAGGAGAGGAGGGGAGGAGGGAGAAGAGGAGAGGAGGGGAGGGGGGAGAAGAGGAGAGGAGGGGAGGGGAAGGGAGGGGAAGAAGGGGAGGGAGGGGAGGAGAAAGAAGGGAAGGGGAAAAGAGAGGAGAAAGGAGAGGAGAGGAGAGGAGACGAGAGGAGAGGAGGAGGAGGAGGAGGAGGAGGAGCCAGGAACTGTGGAGGGGGAGCAAAGAGAGGCCAGGAAGAGGGGTCAGAGAGAGGGAGAGAAGCCAAACAGTCCTTCTATAGCAAGCCAGACTTGTACTTGACTGTTGCTAGGTAACCGTTAGGTGAAGCATAGAAGTGCTAACATAGAGTACATTTATAGAGGGCACTGTGAGTTTCTTCTCCTATCCAAGTAAAGCTCTAAGAATGGGTCACACTGCTGTCATCTCACAGGTCCCCAAGCCTTCTCTGGGAGCAGGTAGCCTACCTAGATACCTGAGGAACAACCATTATTATTAAGCACTCTCCACTCTCAAAGCACCCCTCTTTATCCACTGTGCTTGCAGGTATTGACATACCTCAGATTGCTGTAGACTTTAACAGACCACCTCTTCATTTCTTAAAAGGGAAAGAGTCTATTCTAATAAAGGGTCTCATGAAAATGAACAAACCACCTAGAACTAATAGCATCGTCTGAAGGATGAGCAGCAGAGGGCAGTCAGTCTAGCTTCTTTTATAAAAACCCGCTGTTGCTCAAAGAAAAGAATTACCTGGAAATTCCAAGAGAAGGATAAAGGAGACCCAACTGAAAATGGACATTCTGTAATGGGTGATCTTGTCATTTCAATCAAGGTTATCAAATAAACTATGAGAACTCAAAGATGAATTTCAGATATTATTTCAATTTTTTCTATTTAATTCTGTGAGTTCAGTATAATTATATCCCATATAATTTCATAAACACACCTGTACCCTGTTAAGTTTTTGTAAGTCTATGTAGAAAACACATATCCTAAAATATTATTAATTCTTCATCTTAAATTAAAGTTTACCTTATCTTCCTTCATTTTATTTGTCAGATATGGTGACCTTTTTACCAACTCACTGGCAAACTTTTTCTGTATGGTCCGTGAACATTTATTTATTGTGGCATCAAAGTGAAAAGTTGAAAATGAATCATGGCATATCTTTGTAACTGACTTTATTTTCCTTCCTGAACACATTTTTTAAAATTCCTTCCATTGTCAGATACATATAAAACCAAAGCTAGTATGTTTTAAAGATTAATAGTATATATTCAGGAAAAATATTTTATAATTTTTAAGAATAATTTTATACAAAATTGTAAATCTTTATAAAACTCAAAAAAGATATCCTACATCTTATTAAAATCGTAAGCATTGCCCATGGCACAAAGAAAGGCAAACAGTCTGATTTTATGGTTGTGAGTTCTTAGGATCATCCTTATGTCATGTTATTGATGGCTTGAAAACTGAAAGTTGCTTCTGACCACACAACAGGAGGCTTAACTCTCCGTCCACCGTTGTTTGTTTATTGCTAACCCACAAAGCTCTGGATCATTCCAGAAAGCTGTTCCTGATACCTTTTCTCAGATGATCATCCTGCCTGTACCTCAGCATTTCTAAGCAAACAAGGAAGTTGTTAGAGATTATCTGTGGGGATTGGGTTTGGGGGCTGGCTTGTTTGAGGCTGTGTTGCTGGGATTGGGGGCTGGCTTGTTTGAGGCTGAGTTGCTGGGGTTAGGGGCTGGGTTGCTGGGCAGGTGGTGATGAAAATACCACTGTCCTAGAGACAATGAGAGAATGGGTTTAGGATTGCATTGGGTTGCATCTTCCTCAAACAAAAGGTAACTGAGTCTGGTAAAATAAGTTAAAATGCTCAGAGCAGGCCTGACACACAAGGAGCCTTCAAAAAGACAATTTCATGTTCTTGTAATGCTCACTGGCCCTCACCCCACCCCCATCCCACCCCCACTCCCTTTGGGAATGGGATCTGGGTAAAGTCTCTGGAGCAGAAGACTGTCTCTTTGTGGCCTTTGGATTCAAGGGGGGTTAACTCCTCTCACGGCATGAATACACACTGAAAAGGGGAACTGTCAAGAAACAGGCCTAAGTGTGTTCCTTTGTCCAGATGAAAATCTTTCCTGTAACACCAACCCATGGTGCAAGAGGACAGTTTACAGGAGAACTCTCAAGGGAAGGGAAGTGGGATCATTCTTTAGAGATATTTACAAAAAAGAAAGAGAGAGAGAGAGAGAGAGAGAGAGAGAGAGAGAGAGAGAGAGAGAGAGAGAAAGAGAAAAAGAAAAAAGAAAGAAAGGCAAGAATTAGCAATGTGGACTTGCTGTCTTCAAGCGTGTTAGCACATTCAGATGGAGTGTCTTGTGCACCGTAATTGGAAAGTGACTGCAGGAAAGAGTCTTGAATTATTGGAGGCTGCCATTCAGCTGCAGTGGGTTTTGGCTTTTGAAGTATGAAAAGGTTCAGTTGATTACTATGGTAATACTAGACATAAAGCACACAGCCTACACAAGAATAAAAATTCCTGTAGAATCACACTTTGAATTCCCTTGGCAGGACTTTCTGGAGACTTTCTACGAGCTGGGAGATATTCTGCCCATACAGTCAATGGGGCATGGTCAGCCTGGACCTCCTGGTCACAATGCAGCAGAGACTGCAGCAGGGGCATTCGGAACCGGAAACGTGTTTGCAACAACCCAGAACCCAAGTATGGGGGTATGCCATGCCTTGGCCCGTCGCTGGAGTTCCAGGAATGCAACATTTTACCCTGTCCAGGTAAGTGGATCACAGTGCAGGAAAGACTGGGAAAGCTGTGTGCTTGCCACCTTTAATTACTGAAGCCACTGGAGCCCTCTCCCCCTTTTGAGAGATATGTTCTTAAGAAGTGTGTGCAGAGATTGCAGCACCTGTTGGGAACTAGACAGGATAAAGGGAAAAGGAGTCCTGGATTCCTAACTCATCCTGGCTATCTAGACCCAAAGCGATACCACTGAAAATCTTCCATTAGTCTCTCTCCAAGAATACAGGCAGCTAGCCTGGGGCTGACAATGTTCTCCTCCCATATTGCTGGATACAGAGACAAACACAATATGCAATGAATTGCATCGTATATTATGCTTTTACAAGAAAGCACAGTATTCCCGGGAACCATTTTGTCTTAGTTACAGTTACTGTTACTGTGATGAAACACCACGCCTAAAAGCAACATGGGGAAGAAAAGATTTATTCACTCACAGTTCCATAGCATCAAAAGCAGTGAGGACAGCAACTCAAACAGGATGTGAACTAGAAGCAGGAGTTGATACAGAACGCATGGAGACTTGGTACCTACTAGATTGTTCCCTTTTGGCTTGCTCAGACTGCTTTCTAATAGAACACAGGCCCACCAGTCCAACGATGCCACCACACACAATGGGCTAGGCCCTCCCCATTAATCATTAATTAAGAAAATACCCTACAGGTTTGCTTATACCCTGATCTTATAAAGATTTTTTTTAATTGAAGTTCCCTCCTTTCAGAAGATTTAGCTTGTGTCAAGTTGACATAAAACTAGCTAGCATATACTCAGATCTTATGATCTTAGCCCTTTCACTAATGAAGCTGATGGTTCTTTGAAGTAGTTTTCAGAAATACATGTTGTCTCCAAAATAAGTGTTAATCACTTTCAGAATACAGACAGACCTAGCCTTTCCAATATGGCCACTACGAAGTCCATAGAGTCACACTGCCACAGTACTACACCCGGGACACCAGCCAGCTCCCAATTCCACCTCACCTTTTATAAAGAGAGGCTCACCTCATGAGTGAAACCCTCTATGGATGGAGTTCTTTTCTGGAGACTGGTAGAGCTATGTGTCACCTGGCTGCCTCATAGTTTCAGGCTCTTTAACACAATGTCTCAAAGCCTTTATAGCCTTATCCCTGTGTAAACCATATACCTGACTGAAAGCCCAAGAGGTTAAGGCCTGCTGAGCAGGCTTACACACCATAATTACCTCAGAGACAACACAAGGCTGACACACCGAAAAATATCGATGGGCCATTGTCAGATGATGAGGGAACAAAGCACTGAATAATTGATCTTCCTTCAACAGAGCACACTATTGATTTGTACACTATATTTCTCATCAGTATGTGTGGGTGTATGGGTGTGTGTGTGTGTGTGTGTGTGTGTGTGTGTGTAAATAACGTTAGCCTAATATAGTCACTGATCTCTGGTTTTGTAACATGATAAAATGCAGTGACCGACCACATCAGTTGAAGACATACTAATTAGACTCATAACAGACAATGCCAACCACTGTACTGTGAGCCTAGTATTGAGGAAGGATTTAGTAGGAGCCTAGTAGGAAGGAGTTTGTCAAATTGACAAACAGGAATGAGAAATCCTGTGTAGGAGAGACTCATTCCAAGTATTGGGTACATTGCTTTTAAGAGCATAAAAGTCTTAGCATCTATTCCTTTAGATTAAATAGAACTTTCTAAATCGTTTGAGTAATAAACTGCCTTATAAGAATTGAATAAGCATTTGTGGATGAGACAGTAGGTGGGTAGATGAATGATTAGATATGATTAGATAGATGGATATCTGGGTTACTCTTTGGATGGGTGGGTGACAGATGGCTGGCTGGATGATGGATGGGTAGATATATGGATATATGAATAGATACATGGATATATGGTAATGGATTGATAGACATGTAGGTAACGTTGAAATCAAGACCCCAGCTTTGTATCACATGATCTTCCTTTTGTAAATAACTAATTGTTTGAGACTGTGATAAATTTACCATTCCACCCTTTCTCTTTCCTCCCTTCAGTGTCCCCTGCGCCTCTTGCTCTCTTTTCAGTCATGACTACGTTCATGGCTACTTAATTATCACGTGTTCAAGCTATATAATATTACTTTTATAAATGTGTTTAGGGCTTGGCATTTGGTATTTGATAACCAATTAGTGTGCTCTTCCCTGGGGAAATCTATTTCTCGTACTTGCAGCATTTCTTACGTACCTATAGTTCTTTGTGTAAAGTGGTGGACTCATGAGCTCTTCCCGTTCCACATTACAATGATATTATCACAATGATATTAGTCTTGCTCAGGTCGTTCTTAGGCACAGGTTGGTGAGATTTTCTGAATGTAGCTTCTGACTACATCCTACATTACTAAGAGTCACAGCCTCACACTTCATCTCCTGATCCTTTTGCTCTTATAGCCCTTGCTCACACCCATTGACAATATTCTCTGAGCCCTGAGTGCAGTAGTTATGCCGTAGATATCATCTACTATGACCGAGCTCCACAGTTTTGTATTTTGATCCATTTTGGTTCTCTGTGATACTCTCTGTCTGTTGAAAAGCAAAACTATCTATAGTCACTTATCTTTGGCTGTAAGTATAAATATTTGCAATATAGGTAGGAATGATGCTGGTTTAAGAAAGGGACAGTTGTATATTTTCCTCCTCCAAGATTCATGACTTCACTAGCCCTGAGTAGTTGACTAGCTTCCAATGCTAGGCATGATTTCCCTCTTGTTGACTCAGCCTGCAGTCCAGTTAGAGAGATTTTGGTTACTGCCAAGTGTGTGCATATCACTACTGCACCTTTAGAGTTATGGCTTCGTGATGTTAATTGTTGTGGTTCATAGAGGAGTAGGATTATTGGTTGCTTTTCTTCTTTAGAAAATTTCGTAGTACCGTCTGGATATCATGAAAATTACTTCTCAGGGATCTGGGTTTGGAGTTAGATCCACCTCAGGATCTCTGGGTCCTGTGACTGAAGTAGATGGGTATCTTCAGAAGTAGAACACCTTACATCTCTGGAAGGCAACTGGATGCAACAACAATAGCCTATATTTTGTGAGTCTCTTGGACAACCCTAACTTATAACCCAAATAAGGGCTTTTAAAAAGTATTGTTGGGTTTTATGGTCTATAGATAATATATAGCTCTTGTGGAGAACATTGTTAGCCTAGATGGAAAACTTTTATTTATACTATATGCAGTAAATAGTATATATAACATATAATATATATATTATATATTATATAATATATAATACATAAAATATATAATATATAATATATAGTGTAGATATTTGTAAGTATATAGTTAATAGTTATGATTCCTTATGAGTTTTTCAGACATTTTACTGTTATTTTACCCTCCCTCTGGATTTACATCTCTCTCCTCTCCATAATTAAAGTCCACTTGCCCACCACTTTCAGATCATATATTCTCTGCTATTCCTCTCTCTCTTGTTCCCAGCATCACCACTTCACTATGAGCCCTTTCCACTTTCCAGGTTTCTGCAGTTACTCCAGGCTATATACTCACATCTGACAATTTGGAGCTAAAGGCTTCAGACTAGAGAGAACATTTGTCTAAGTCTGAGTTACACCATTCAATGTGATCTTTTCGAGTTCCTCCCATTTACTGGTAGCCAAAGTTTTCAGTGATGTCTTTGGTCCTGCAGCTGTGCTAGTCCCCTGATGCCTGTATGCTTGAATTTCTCCAGCCTCAGGATATTCTTCTTCAGACCACACAACTTTCCCAGCTGATGCTGAGACGCTGGGAAAGGTCATAGAGTTGCTCTTTCCCACAGCCCATGTGGAAAGATTCTTCCCCTGGGTGCTTGGAGGCAGCGTGGGTGTTATCACTAGATTTAAATCAGGGCTGTGAACTTAAGCCAAGGAGAATGTCATAGGAATGCCATCTCGCTCTTTTCTAGACTCTAAACTTAATTTCTTGTGTGCATTAGTAGCCTCTGTGGATTCCTAGAGATGCTTGGATGTAGTCCTGGTCCCTGAGGGCAAATGTTTCTTGTCCATATCAGGGACAAGCATCATCTGTGATAGTTTTAATTTTATTTTTGTTGACTTGCTGTGGAGCCAAGATTATGTGTACATGGCCTGAATATCTTAAAATAACTCTGTCCTCTTTTTCTTTTAAAAGCCAAGATTTCTTTGTGGGATTGGCCATATCTTTCAACCAGGGACTAGTTAAATTCAAGGTTGAATGAGTGAAGACAAACTTTTTCTCCCATGTCCTATAAAGTTCCTAAAAATGTGATAATGTGTAACTCAGCTATGAGCTGGAAGGAAGCACCGCCCTCCATGGGCTGACCTATACAGCCAAAAGAAGCCATATTTAGGGCAACTTTTACCTAATTTAGAGCATTTTCTTAAAAAAAAACCTTACATTTTAACCCTATTAGATTCCTAGTGATCAATTACAAAATGCACTACCATTTATTAATGTTCTCAGATATTGCAAACAGATGAACAGGTAAGGACACTTGCTATGCAAGCATGGAGATTTACGTTTGAGTTCTCAAAATCCATGTAAATAGGCATGTCTGCATGTACCTGCAACCTCAGCACTGAGAGAAAGGATAGGCAGATCCCAAGAGCTCCTTGGCCAGTAAGCCTAGTCAAAATGGTGATCTGAGTGAGAGCCCATGTCAAAGCAATAAGACAGAGGGAGCATGAAAGTAGAAGGCACCCAATTTCCTACTCTGGCCTTTGTGTGCAAGCCCATGAGGGTATAGCTGGGCTGGGAAGATAGCTGAGCAGAGGAGTGCTTGAATTCTGGAGGATGTGGCTCTATCTGTGACACTAATATAAGAAAATAAATAAGGAAGTAAGTAATAAAGTCAAGCACATACTAAAATGATTATTCTTTACCCTTGGAACCTGCTCCTGAGTAATTTGTCCCAACATTGAGAGGCACGTGACTGTTTCTGTTCATCTTGTTTTTTCTGCTGGAATTCGATGCGGCTGTAAAGACTCTAGACTGTAGACCTTGACTGTCAAAACTAGAGACAACAGATGGTTCTTTGTTGCTATGTGTATTCAAATGAGAAGAAAGTAACTTCACAGTCACCCATAAAACCCAGCACAGTAAGCATAAGTTCTTTTGATAAGATTTAACTCACAAGGTTCCATTTGCCATTCTTCTGTAAACAATAAGGCCCAGGGAAAAGGAACAAGCGCACAGTGACTCAGACTAGGGACTCTGACAGGCGTGTTCTCTCCGGAGAACAATACAGAAACCTGTGGTATGTTGGGGACACCGTGTTTTCTATCTGTAGCATTTTTATGTCCTTGGATCTTCACATAAGCAGACAGAGAGCACAGGACTTCTACTCAGTGATTCTTTGGAAGAGAAAAATCCCTACAGTTCCTCAGAGTAGAAATGTGTGGCCCGGGCTTCAGAATGCTGAAGAATCAGTATCACAAGTTCTTCATGAGCTAACATGCTGCAAATGCACCACTTTGTTGCTCTGACCACCCACAGTGTGACTGGCACTTGGGGGTTAATTATGCAGCTTTATTTTGCTCTCTTTCATCACTGCTGACCGTACTCTGTTTTGGTCTTTTTGTAGCAGACCAGTATTTAACTAAAATCCCAACACTGTTTTTTTTTTAACTACTATTGAACTATTTAATATATAACTTTCATTTCAACCAGAATAGTTCTTCGTAATTAATTGCTTTCTTTCCTTGAAAGACTAAGGATCTAAGCTTCAGGGTGTTTGTCTAATCTTCTCATGAACTGGTCTTACTTAGGATACGTTAAGTGGTAATTCAAGCCATGGGCAGAATCCAGCATGGGCGGCAAGAATTATGTGCCTTGTAAGGAGGTCTGTTGCCTGCATTATTGATCCTTAGCTTTAGGACTTTTCAAGCCAGCTAGATAATAAAAACAGCCAAGGTGAGAACTAGCTAGGTGCTACTTATTAATTATTATGACATGCGATTCATGGTTCCAGGGCTAGAAGCTTCAAGTCACTTACTTTGATGATGCTTAGAAATTATATGTTTTGAAATATTTTCTGGAGAACAAATAGGGGAACTAGACAGTGTTGGAAAGATTCTTCAAATCTATATCTACCACCAAGTAGGAAACATCAAATGGCCCCACACCATGAGTGGCTTTTGCTGTCTTTTATATGGCATATCCTATCTCTACAAGTGTCATATTGGTCTGGTGGGGACGTAAGAAGTTCTACGTTTTTGTGTCCTTTTCCAGTGGATGGTGTGTGGTCTTGCTGGTCGTCCTGGTCTAAATGCTCAGCAACCTGTGGGGGTGGGCACTACATGAGAACCCGTTCGTGTACGAATCCAGCCCCAGCGTACGGAGGGGACATCTGCCTGGGACTGCACACAGAAGAGGCACTCTGCAACACACAGACCTGCCCAGGTACACAAAGCATTGCTTACTACATGACGATAGTGCAAACTCACCTTTCTTAATTCTGAATGATGAAATTAAGGATTTCAATTCACAGTAAATACTGGAAATAGAAGAATGGATGGCAAATCAGTCTCACATTGTCACCCCCTAATGTGATTTAATAACATATGGTTCTACAGCAACATAGATTTCACATTGTCCTCTCTTCAGTTTACAAATGGGAAAGGGTATATATTTTGGGGTGGGGGGCATCTAAACTACCTACCTACAAAATGTACCCCAACTCAACTTTGACCTGGCTAACTTACACTGATGACTCTCACGTAGCAACTTGCTTTGCTAGGTAAGAGAGTAGATTGTAGAAAGTGCGTGGAAAGCAAGCCAGCATTTGTAGTGTCCCCACGCTGGCTGATGTGATGTGATTCAGTGGGAGAGTCGCCTATGGCTCCTTCTTACACAGCCTATCCCTGCCCAGAATATGCTGGAGGCTTAGAACAAGTCCAGAAATGTTCCAAGGGAGCACAGGGCATTGTGAGAGGATACGTTACTCAGGGTCAGGGCTATACTCAGAGGCAGTACAGCTAAAGAAAATATAATACATAAAGTCCAGTATCTTAGTTAGAGTTTCTATTTCTACACAAAACACAATGACCAAGAAGCGAATTGGGGAGGAAAGGGTTTATTCAGCTTACACTTCTACGTTGCTGTTCCTCACCAAAGGAAGTCAGGACAGAAACTCACACAGGGCAGGAACTTGGAGGCAGGAGCTGATGCAGAGGCCATGGAGGAATGTTGCTTACTGGCTAGCTTCCCCTGGCTTGCTCAGCTTGCTTTCTTATAGAACCCAGGACTACCAACCCAGGGATGGCACCACCCACAATGTGCTGGGCCCTTCCACCTTTGATCACTAATTGAGAAATTGCCTTCCAGCTGGATCTCATGGAGGCATTTCTTCAAAGGAGGCTTCTTTCTCTGTGATAACTCCAACTTGTATCAAGTTGACACACTAAACCAGCCAGTACATCCAGTCAGTTGTCAGAGAATCAAAGCAAAGCAAACAACAAGAATTAGTGATAGGAGGAAGTGAGCCTCTTCAGGACCATGGCTGGTGGAGCTCTGGGCTCTGTGGTTGGCAAAGAATGTATTAGATAGCCTTTTACCCAAGACCTAGCACTCTGACATACAGAATCACTTGGGGTGAAAACACAATGCTTTCCTACATTTAACCTTAACAGTGAAACACTTCATCAATATGTATATACAGGTATATTTAAAGAGACCTTGAACCAAATTCTTTTTTTATTGGATATTTTATTTATTTACAATACAAATATCATTTTCTTTCCCCATTTCCCCTTCTAAGAACCCCCTATCCTATACGCCCTCTTCCTTTATGCTTTTATACCATTTGATTACATGCATGTATTAAGGTCAGTTCTAGGTTGAGGGTCTAGCAATACAATAGATGCAAATGGTCGAGAAACAAGCAATACAATAAATACAAATAGTCAAAGAGAAAGCAAGGCATTAAACCCAATTATGTGAACACTCCTGTGATCACTCTTGAACCAGATTCTTATAATCATTCCAAAGACCAGTCTTTTATGTATGCCTTTGAGAGAACAAGTCAGTAATGTCCTGTCATTGCTCATCGTTTGGCCTTGACCCAGAACATGGGAATTGTCTTTATTCCTGTCACCAGGACTGAAATAAAATGAACTCTTCCTCAAGTCTGGCTTGGCTTTGGCATAGTAACTTTTCAGAGTTCTTTTTATTGCAAAATAAAGACACTTTAAACTTTCATTTAGATACCAGGGATTTCCCATTAGTGTGAGATGCTGGCCAACATGGGTCCAGTGGGAAATGCCCAGCAAATAATCCGAGGACATCTTTGTAGGGGGCTTACTCTGTAAGGAATGGTGGCTGCACTGGTGATTTCTGACTCCCTGAAGTCACATTTGTCTCAAGAGTTAGTTTATTGACTATTTAAATAAAATGACTCACAGAATGGAAATGATATGGGATTTAGATTTAGAGCACTTACTTTATATATATTATATCTGGTTTAAATTTATTCCTATATTTACTCATCCTCATGTGGATTTATTTACTGGGTTGTTAGAAACTATGACCACATCTTATTTATGCACAGAGCCATTAAATACAGAGTGTGAGAGTCTAAAGAGCAGTGTAACTTCATGGGGATTTTGTGTTGGTCAATATCATCAGGTAGCCCTGCCTCTCCCCCTCTCCCTTCTTCTGGTCTCTGCAGAGAGTTGGTCAGAGTGGTCAGACTGGTCCGTGTGTGATGCATCTGGTACCCAGGTCCGTGCTCGGCAGTGCATCCTTCTGTTTCCTGTGGGCAGCCAGTGTTCTGGAAATACTACAGAGAGCCGGCCTTGTGTATTTGACTCTAATTTCATCCCAGGTAAGGGCAGAGGTGTTTATCAGTGTGAACAGAGTCATTCTAATATCCAGAGAGGAAATGAGCCATTGGGTCAGGCTTTCATCTGCTCTTTGAGGCTCTTTGATGAATTAAAAATGATCCTGTCAACTGTTGTGGCTTCAAGGTGACTGGAATATAGATTTACAGGTAACTAGACTGGAATTTAACACAATGTCTTATGTAATTTATTGATTCTAATATAGTCTGAGAATTTCACCACAAAATTTGAAAACTAATTGCTTGTTTTTAATATCACCTTAAATTCTTTGCTATGAAAATATGATGTACTTGTTGCAGAGAAAAGGGCCATTGTCTTCATGTAATTCTCAATATACCAGGGGACACAGATGTCTGTCACTAGTGTTGCCTTGAAAAAGAGGTTGGTAGTTCCTTTTTCCACAGGCTTTTTGTTTTAATGGAATAATCATCATTTAGTTATCATAGGGGACACTCACTTGTTATACTGACCCTGTAGGTGTCCTGTTCTATGTATATAAACCCGTGAACACCAACTCTGTGCACGTAACTAACAAACTCCATGTTAATTAACCAAGTTTTTGAACCTTAGACTCATATTGAATTCAACATCGTTGGTGCTTGCAAATAAAGCATGAATGTAAATTTTCCTCCCAAATCCTTTGTCCATTATGACTGGATTTTTGTTTTCCAGAAGTGTCTGTGGCAAGATCCAGCAGCGTAGAAGAGAAAAGGTGTGGAGGTGAGTTCTCCTGTTAACAGAGCTCTGGTGGGGACTCTGACATGTGACAACCATTTTCTTCCCGGTAGGTTCCACCATTGGATGAGAGTGGCAGGCCAGAGAAGCCCCTGATTACCCCCTCATGTTGGTCGTGATCTCTCAGATACTGCACTAAATGCTTCTAGAGACAGACATATCCTATCAGCATCTTACAAAGTTGCCACAGTCTACAGTGGTCTGTGGGAGACACTTGGAAACAGGCTTTGGAAGTTAACATTTTCCCAAACCCAGAAGAGAGACTTAGCACCCAGCACAGGCTCTGGTATTTAGAATTAGCTACACTAGTTATGCTGTTATCAGGTATGAGCTAAAGGAGTCAGTCAGTCGCCATATCATTGCAGCCAGATGAGTGAAGAATAACAGTTTTCAGGGATTTTATATTGGGAATTGTACTAAACGAGTAGTAAACCTTGGTTTTAATCTACACTGTATATGTGAGGGCCATGGAGTTCACTGATGTGAGGCTACTGTCTCATGTCCAAGTGAGTCATACATAAGGGGTGATTATCCTCGTAGCAGGCTGCTATGGGAATTTTAAGTTGACAATTGATCCTAGAAAATGGATCCAAGTAGATCACTGGGAGATATGCACGAGGCTTCCACTGCAGTCCTGTCAGGGGCATACTCTTGGTCAACACCAACATTTCAGCCAGATGGCATGGTGACCTTCAGGAAATGCAGGTTAGGGAGGCAGAAGTGCACAATTTGTGTTCTGTCTTTAGAGAGGTCAATACAGACCCGAGGGTCTCATAGGTGGCACCTCTGACTTGCCGCCAGGGTCTCTCAGTTTCTTTTAGCCCTGGAAGAATAGCTGGCTCTTGAGCAAGTCTAGCATCTAGCCTGGTGATGTTATTGGCTAAATCTCAGAGAGTGTAGTTACTCTGCATTGTTAGGAAACTGACTGTTGTAACCTTTACGCTACTGGCATTGCTGTGCCAGCATGAGCAGGTAAATGGATCTTAGGCTGTAGCTGATGGGCTTAATATAACTGATTGCCTAGCATGAGTGTGTGGGAGATTTAGAAAATGTTATATATGTTTTATCCACATTAATGGGCAGAAAGCAATCCAAATGAACCAACTAGGTGGTTGGTCTCTGTTCTAGCCTTACTGTCCAAAAATCAAGAAAAAAAGAATGGGCTAATAACCAGGATTAGTAGAGAAAGGTGTCTGCCACAAAGACTAATAATCAGAGTTCCATCCCAAGATCATACGTAGTGAAAGGAGAGAACGGACTCTTAAAACTTGATCTTTGTCCTTGGTACCTTCACATATGTATGAGTGTGAGCACACACACACACGCGCACACACTCGAATACACACACATATACACACTCACACACAATCCATAAGAAATTGTTAAAGAAAATGGCATATTTTAGGGAAGCGCCACAGTGTGCAGAATCTAAAGAGATTTAGTAGGCACCATTTTTCCCTCTGCAGAAGATGTGTTCCTACTGAGATTTCTTTCCACTTAGCTATTTTTAGTTGCAGGAGACACAAAGACTGAATAATCTCGTCATAAAGATGTCAGCTGGCCACAGCTTCCCCAGGCACCTGCAGGAATAATTCATCTGACTAATGACGCACATCTGCATAAGGAAACCATTGTACATCTCCCATATGCGACGATGAAATATGAGTTATCAGGGCAGTAGAATATATTTTTATCAGTATGTGGCACTGACTCAGGGGAGTCCTAGCAGCTAAAATAGACAGAAATAAGAACTCATGTGAGATCAGCCTTGCTAATCATTGCTTTAGCTACAATCCTCAGGAAAAACAACACAATTCTAGTGGTTGCTGGTGGGAGGGGTGCACAATGCTTTAAGCCACAGTCAGATGCTGTGAGTCCTGCCCCACTACAGTCTCTATGACAAAGCAGGACATGCTCAAGGTTTGTAACTTCCCTTTTTGGTCTTATCATTGAATGTTCTTGTAGGATGTTCCCAATACATTATCCAGCCATAGTGCTGTAGACTTCTATGGTAGGAACTTCACCGTTGGTTTAAAAATTCAATGCATCTAGGAATATGTGTTGATCATTGGTGATAGTGGACCCAATAAAGGAGGTCAATCTCTCAGGGATCTGAGTTCATAGAATATGGTGTCCAGGAGCAGGCAGAAGCATTGTACAGGGGAAAACTCAGGGTCAGAGGGCATGTAAGAGATCTTCAACTTCTTCCATGTATCACAGGTTAGGCCATGATAACATGCTTCCTATTTTTAGGCTCAGCTTCTGCCCTGGTCTTCTTGACCTGGACTTGGGGTGAGGATAGGGATTCTGATAGAAGCTCTAAGGCCCCGATGTCTAGTGTCCATTGGTGAATGCTAGCAAAAGATCTTTTCACAAGTATCAGAGTTGGCCTTGTGATAGGGTGTTGCTTCTGCTGAGTGGCAAGTGTCAGGAATGGGCACAAAGAGAAGGTGGCTCTGCAGACATCTAGGGAGGAAGCGAGTGGGGGTCAGTTGTAAAGACCAAAGGCCCTGGGGTTGCAGAGATATCTCTGTCTTCTCTAATGTTCTCAGGGGCTTCCTCTCCAGTAGGGGTGTCACTCCATGTCTACATTGATGCTCAGTAGCTCCTCCACAGCCCCACTTGGTTCTGGGGTTGACAGATTATGAAAAATTACCAGGTTATGTTGCATTCCATGATGATACTTGTGGGAGACAGCAGGGGTCCTATCCATGTTTCCTGAGCTGTGAAGACACTAGGTGAACAACCAGGATGCAGTTAGTCCTCTAGTGCCAGTGCAGAGTAGGGGGAAAGGAAGCCACAGTCTGCTTCACATGACGCTCACTTAGCCCTGCTCTGAGCACAGGTTGGGAACTTCAACAGCAGTGTTTTCCCAAGAAACATGGAGGTTTCCAGATGGTTGTTTCTTAGCCATTCCATAACTCTTGGTGTGTTGCCAGGATGCCAATCTAACCACTCCTGTTGTCAAGATATACATCACTGTAACTCACTTTTTGAGTTTCTATTGCCAATAACTCAAGGAAAAGACTCAAAACAGGTGCCTATTAAAGAGACAAACAATGGGTGGAAAGAATAGTTCAAGTCTAGCTTAAAGATTATCTTTGAGGCCTCTAGCATGAATCCTTTATTTCTTGGAGTAAGACTTTTTTTATAAGATCACCTAAATTCTAGTTATAAAAAGTGCTCCACACATTAATATTCAAGTGTGTGTGTAGAGAGAGGAGGCTATAGCCATACAAAATAGATAGATGCTCAGTCTGTTAGAGTCCATAGACACACTTCCTGTAGAAAACCCACAGGCCAGTGGTCACCATGCTCTTGAGGACTCTCTGAGGTTTTCAGATAAAAGCAAATGTGTTTCAATTGTAATACTAACAATGTTCATGAGGTTTGAGGAAATTATTTATATCTATAAGAATACTAATTAGAACGAGGCTGCTCGTTGCGGACAAGTTTTCCTAGACTCTGACATTTCCAAGAACTAAACTACTGTGACATCTATACCATACGAAGTACCTCCCTTTGACTTTCCTTTCACTTGGGCACTTTAAGGGTCAAGTAGTGTGTTCTTCTCAAGAGTGATATGAAATTGGCCTATTCCACAGAGTTCAACATGTTCCACATGATGGCTGTGGGGCTTAGCAGTTCCATCCTCGGCTGCCTCCTTACACTGCTTGTCTACACCTACTGCCAACGGTACCAGCAGCAGTCCCATGATGCAACTGTCATCCACCCTGTCTCTCCTGCTGCCCTCAACAGCAGCATAACTAACCACATCAACAAACTGGACAAATACGACTCTGTGGAGGCCATCAAGGTAAGGAATCTATGGTAATAGCTGTATCTAGGTAGGCCACAAAGGCAGGTGATACTGGAGCTGCCAGCCAGGCTAAGTGATGGCGGTCCTGATGATGAATAGAGAGAGCCCAGGTACTCCAGATCTTTTGGGTGTTGGCTGGGTGCTCTCTGGCAAGTGTAGACAGTTTGTAGGTTTTGGTATATCCCCTGTTGTAGTTGTAGGAAGTCTGTGAGTATAAAAAGTTTAAAAATGACATAAAATGCTGGTAGATAGTTAATCTTGGGCAATGTCTGGTTATGTTACAACTCTGCTTCTTGCCTTTGAAAAGAGGTCTTTCGACAAAGTGCCTCCAGCCAAGGACTGGGGAGCAAGAAAAAGGCCACATTATGGCACTCAGATGTTCATGTGTGTTTTTTAAAACAAGCTGAGTTCCCTTCAATGTCCTATGTAAAATGGATATAATAATGCATAACTCCATGTTATGAAGTTTCAGTGGCCATACACAAGGGCTAGCATGAGAGCTGCTGTTCATACTGTGTTCCTATGGGAGGTCATGGTATAGCTGGAAACACATGGTAGCTTTTGTCTGCTGTACTCATCTTTGGTTATTTTCCATGGTCATGATGGTAATTCTCCTAAGCCAAGACTGACTGATCTTCTGCATTCCTGTTGAGTTAGTTGCTTCCCTTAACATCCTAAGCAAATGTTGGCATAGCCTCTTTCTGCCAGTATGGCTAAGTTTGAAATGACATTCCCTTTTATCAGAATACATAGTACACCCAACACCAATAGAACACTGTGGGATAGGAGGCAGAAATGACTTAAGAGCAGGAGGAGTGCTATGAAACACTATCTGCAGGATATATTATGGCTATCACAATCATAGTCCCACAGGACCTATACAAGATCTATACAAGATCAAACAGCTGCAGTCCAGGCATAGATAAGGCATAGATGATCTCAAGGTTCTACCTTACACTGAGGAGCTCCTGCTAGTGGGCTGTTGCTGGGAGAGGAAGAATCACTCTTTACTGAGGCTATGGTCCATGGTAGGTTCCTCATGCTCCTGTGGATGGTCCTATTCTCATGAACATGTGGGCAATATTAACTGAACCTAGTGGGTTATTAAACAAACAAACAAGCAGAGAAGCAAACATGAAGTTGGAAAGGAGAAATGTTGGGGTGCTAAGAGAGGAGTTGGAGTGGGAAAAAGGGGAGCAAATATATTTCATTGTGTGAAAATTTAAAAATTGAATAAAATTTTAAAATAGAGTATTTTTAAAAAAAGATGAAGGATTAAGGAGAAAGTGATCTATAGAGGGCTCACACACAGTCTATTAGAGATGAGCTGTAGTGTTGAGAGAAAACCTGAGCTACTGTCCTTTGAAACAAAACCCAGAGGCAGTGTAGCTTGATGCCAACACAACATCGACTCTGTGGTCCTGCTATTTTAGTCAGTAGTAGGTAACTGAATTGGCCTGTGTTCTCACCTCAGGTGCAGTCTCCCATTGTGAGACGATACTAGACATGTTACTGCCGTGGTGAGGACTCCAAGTGTGTGGGTATCTGCCTAGTCTTCAATGGCTGAATCGTTCAATGACTCTGCTTGACTAATTGTTTGAAGTTAGCCTCTATCTGTCCTGTTTCATCGTTATCTTGTTCTTCTCACTGTTTACCCTCCCCCTCGAATAATTTGGCTCTTTGTCTTTAATCTGAGTCACAGAGAGCAACAGCAGAGACCTTTTCACAAGTGCAGAGCAAAAAGACATTAAGGCATCTGAGTCAATTCATGTGTTCAAAGAAGCTCTATAAGGCCTTTGAAAAATGATGACGTCATCTGGGCCAGGAGACTAATTTCTTTAAGCATGTGGCTCACAGTCCATACTCCAGTGGATGGCCTCATACTCGAGATTCTATAGGTAGCATAAATTAGAGCCACTGGATTATTTATTTAAAAAAAAATAAAAATTGAATATTAAGGTGATGGTTTGGGAGGTAGGAAAAAAATCTGGGAAAAGAATAGGAAGGACTAGAAGATGAATATTATTAAAATACACTTACAAATTTCTGAAAGGATTAATGAAATTATCACATTAAATGCAGCTCTTTCTTGAAGTCTAAAACACATCAGTGTATCCTGGGTATGGAGGGTAAGTTGGGCCATGTATATCAATTTGTGTGAGTCTTAGAGATTTTCTAGAAAGTCAGACTTTGGATTTCTGATCCTTGCTCCCTCAGTTCTGTCCTGATTAAAGTGCTAAAGTAGGCCAAATACTGTTGAAGACAGCCATCCTGATCCAATTATTAACCAAGTCTTCCTTGGGGCAAATGAGTTAAGAAGACAGTAAATGAGAAGGCACTTTCCAAGGTAATAGAGCCTTGAGAGAGGGCTCAAATTCAACACTGCATCTCCTGATTTTATTCATTTGAAACACTATTTACTGAGCATTCTAAATCTTTTCAAACATATTTTACAGGCATTTAACAAAAACAACTTGATCTTAGAGGAGAGAAACAAATACTTCAACCCACATCTCACTGGGAAGACCTATTCCAACGCCTACTTTACAGATCTCAACAATTATGATGAATACTAGCAGCTCTTACACGTTCGGCTCCTTGTAAACTCTCTGCTCCTCAAAGCCGTGCTCCATGACTGCCCATGTTTCTGAGACTTCAGAGATGACGTGTGGATTCATTTCAAGTGCATTTCAAACCAGGACTTTCCCATCGCTACCAAAAAAGCGCACATCCTTAAATGCCTAAATGTGGTGTTGTGAAAATCCAGTCTATAGAAAACACTTGGTTGTTGCGAAGTGAGCCACGGTATGATGTTTTGTATTGTGCTCATCCCAAACTTTAACTGGTCTACTGTTTTCCATTAGTTTTATTTCATAAATGTGCCAACCACGTTAGAAAGTGTCTTTGAAAACATAGTATTATCATGCTTTTGAGTGCAAAGGGTCAGGATGTTTTAACTTGGAAACAAACAAATAACCAGGCACTTTAATCTGAGAGATGCCTTTCCCACACACACAGGGTCCAGAGAAATTCACAGAATGAAGGTGTGGCTAACACCAACTCCCCCAACCTGGGTGACTGTAGTTTCTTGGAAACAGCTTGTTTGCACTTGGAGTGATTCCTGCCCAGGAATTCCACCTGCCCTGGACCTGCTGAGTCATGGTCTACTGAAATCCTCTGCTTTGGTCTGGGGCAGTGAGTGTCATCACTGTTTGGTGAACACATGAAACAGAGAACAGCCAGAGAGACACACAGCAGTGTTCTGCAGCTTGCAGTGAAACTAACCTTTCTGTGACTTTTGGATTCCGTGTCATCCCAGGAAGCTCCCTGCCATGCTATGGGCCTGAAGGCCACCTTCCTGGGCAGTGAGCTTCCTGGCTGAAGAGCCAGTCTGAGCATTTGAGTAAACTCCATACCTTTTCCTCCCTCCTTCCATGAGGAGAAAATTCTTCAGCATTTATGATGGAAAATATTGAAAGTACCAAACTATAATTGAAAGCTACTTTTTTACAATTGTTTTCGGTTATGCAGTGTTTAATTAACTGATGTAATTGAAAGCTACTTTTTTATTTTTTATTTTTTGTGTTATGCAGTGTTGTTAATGGCTTTTTTTTGTATTCAGCATTTTCACTGTGGCTAATGTGCAGCAAGGGTCCCTATCAAGAGCATTAAAGGTGTGTAAAGCTGTCCCTCTGGAGCTCAGTGCAGTCACACTGGAGTGGCACTCCAGTACCATGGTCTCCTCATTTGTCCCCTGCTGTCCCAACACCAGAGGAGGGAAAGGCTCTGGTGTCTTTTACCCCCAGTTGCTGTCTTCCTGTTCTCCAGCTTACTGAGTCCCACTTCTGCTCCAAAGCAATAGCTGTGAAGACGTACCATGAGAGGCAATGGAGGAGAAGGTCAGGGTTTCTTGTGATCCCTCCCTCTCATCCTGATGTTTGAATGTTCTAAGGCTAATCTTGAGGTTCTCGGAGGAGTAAAGAAGAGTGATTATCATTTGATATAGAGTGATCCAATACTTTTTAATGGTGAAGACAAGAGGTTTGTCTGCACCACTGGTCACTACGTTAAAGGCCTGAGTAGGTAGTCATATGTGTTCTTATGGGTATATGAACTTTCATGTCTATGCAGATGTACAGCACAGAGAGTGAAGACTACAGGGTTTTTTTATGAGTATGTGTTATATCCCCCATGGAACATAAAGAAGCAATCTCAGAAAACATTCCAAAAAAAATCTTATGATTAATCACAAATTATTCTCCTATAAACACATTTTTCAGACATAACTCTCTTAAAATTGAAATTAAAACGGCAGATGGGCTCTGGGAGATGTGTCAGATTGTGAAGAAATGGCATATGGGAATATCGTGGTGGGACATTGTGTGGCATTTCACACGCTTCTTCTACAGTGTACATGGCCTCCGTTGCACACACATTTTTACAATCCACACTCAGCAGACAGAATGTGTCAGATGATTTATTCATTGTCTCCAGGGTGAATTTTTAGTGGATGCTTCAACTCATCTCATTACTTTCTTTTAAGAAAAGAATAAATCCTCCTGACATAGAACTATTTTAGTGTTTTAAAAAATAATCTCCCCTTCTTGAATATTTCTCTAGTTTAAAAGGTCACTTTCTTTCCCCTGGGAAGAAGAGTACAAATATTTCAAGAACGTATGGCTACACTCGAGAGGAAAGGCTTTCTAAGTGACCGCTAATCTGGCCTTCATCAATTTGATATAGTAACCCCACCCCAGAGTTTGTAATAAGAAAGTTTTCTGATATTAGTATTGCTTTGTTAAAGTCTCATTTTTGACTGCCTCATTCTCTCTTCAAATCCCCACCTCCAGCCACCAGTCCTTCGCTCTTATTTGCTAAACAAATGGAGCAATTCCTTAGGAATGCCTTCAGCTGCGTTCTGGCTGTCACTACCTGCTGCACGGCTCATTTTTCTGGAAGTGTACAGCTGCAGTTCCTGGTGCAGTGTATGGCACACTCCAGACCTCTCATCAGCACATCACACACACACGCACACGCACACGCACACGCACATGTGCTCGCTTGCAGGAGTTTAAGTTAGGCTGTACTGTGTGGGTCATGTTTTAGATTCCAAACTGACATTTTCATTTCCTTCCCTACTTCCTCCCGGCAACCCTTCTTCCTTTCCTTTATTTCTTCTTTATTTCCTCTCTTTCTTCTTAACTTTTGCCTTTTGATGAAAGAAACACAGAGGAATTAATATTTTAAGGTACATCTGGCTCAACCTGTTGTTAAATGACACTAACCAACTTATTTTCTAGAGTTAGGGTTCATGTCTGGCTGGTTTTCGTTAGGAAATTGGCTTCAGTCACACACTTACTTTCATTGGAAGTTGGGCCCAATGTTGTCTAGGGTTCTCCCTCTGATTAGACTCTCATCGATCCTGCTATGTGCTGACATTGTGCAGAAAAAAAAAGAGTAGAATTTTTGCACACTGCATAGCCAGAGGTATTTCCAAATATGCTAGAAATTTTCTTGGAACTGGGGGCTCTGTAAGAACTGACTGAAGCTAGCTCTGTGCGTCCTGAGGAACACTGGGACATTGGGTGAAGCTCTGCTTCACAGAAAACCCTCTGTCATCATAGTCCTAGACTTTTGCTTCAAAGTTTCCCAATGCAAGCTAAGTACCTCTGCCCCTTAAGACTTCTAACACCTTAGCATCTTGGTCCTGTTATACGCATCAAAATGCATATTAAAGTAGATTCCATCTGAAATTAGCATGTATGTTGATGGAAGAGAAGAGGGTTTCTTGAGTGTATGATGGAATGATAGAGACACTAAAGGAATGGAAAAGAAGCCATAAACTGAATGGTTGTGAAGGCATCTGCTACAGAGATGTCTCTATCCCTAAGAAGGGCCAATCCATGTGTTTGTTCTGGACCCTGTTGACTCACAGGTAATACTGAAGAGAAAAGAAACAGATGTGGAGTGTGATGTGAAAAAGCAAGGGTCATATTACACTCTGCTGATTATCTTTCATGCCCCCAGAAAAGGATCTGGCCCACAACCAAGTACTGAGGTTCTGACATTTTGACTTATCCATAATCAAGTGTACTGGGTACATGACTCAATGATGGCATCATTGTTTCTTTATTTATCTACAAAGGAATGAAAACCACCAGTGTTGACAAACACCCATGTCAGCAAATGTTCCACTTTAGTCATTGATAGAATCAGGTCTTGCCTTCAATACTGTAGGCAATTTCTCATCAAAAGGTATTCCACCTATGGGCTATGTTATTGTGTAGTTGAACAGCTCAAGAGATGTTATCCTAAAAATGCATCAGACTTGCACTCAGTCAGTTTGTCTAAACACAGCCCACTGGCATTTGAATTTGCATATATCCACATATTCTTTCTGAAATTTTTTTCTTTTAGAATAAACCACAAATATTTCCTCAACAGATCAAGCCAAATTCCTCATCAATTTTCCCCCAGGGTCATCAAGTTTTTTAACTTTGAAGTATCCTAGACTCTTTGGTGGGCCATTCATGTTTTAAATCACACTTTGGAGTACACTAAGTTCAGTGCTACTGTGTCAAAAGACAATTTGGGAGCCCCAACAGGAAATACCAGAAGCCATGCACCAATGGGTGATACAGTGAACTGTGTCACCATTAGATCAACTGGTGACAGGTTATGTTCAAGTCTCCTGGCTCAAAACCATCAGTTTCCATGGAGATGTCAAAACAGTAAATTTAGACTCCTTTGCAAACTCTCTGGTGTTTTTCTAGAGTCTAAAGATGGAACTGGCCATGCCAAGTTTGTCCATTCATTCTTACACCTTTACTACTTCATAGGGCATTTACAGAGTTATGTTAATACACCATTGCCAATATTACAAAGCCTGTTATTACCCATAGGTATGTAATACTATCTTCTAGCAGTTACTGAAGGGCATTGTGGGTACCCTGCTTCTTTGAAAAATGTATATAAAATGGGAAAACTTAAGTTAATGTTCTTGTTGACCTAGGAAATGTACCGTAGGGAATGCTGTGTGAGAGCTTACTGTCCAGAGCCCAGGGATTGTTAGTCTCTACAGCTTGTCTTTTCAGTTGTTATCATTAATTAAAATGATGCAAGGAGGTTTCCAAGGTCTATAAACACTAATCTATGGCCTTGAGGTAGTCTCTCTGGATAATCTCATGAAACCAAGGAAATGAGTTGCTTTCCAGTTTGCTACTGTTTCCTTTGGGGAACAAAAACCCTGTGGATAATGTGCAATGGTGAACTATTGACAGAAGTTGTGAAAGTTCTCTTCCTTTTGGATTTCATATCAAAATGTTGCATTATTAAAAATTTGATACACTTTGCTGAAGCAACATAGAAACCTATCTCTTAAAATAGTTCAGACTGCAAAGACTGTGTGTAGTCTCCTGGATACCCAATTCAGAGCCTGGAACAAATAGTATAGTTCATAATGAAAGCCCAGCCCTGAAACATGATCTCTTTGATAGATGATGTCCTGCCGTTTATGCTTATTATCCATGACCAGAGCCTATATCAACTCTGTCCCCAAGCGGAAATGCTTTACTAGGAAGACAAGGTACATGTAACTAAACTGATCAAAGATACTCTTCTATCAGAAAGAGAAAAGTAGCAATGGGGAATCACTAAAATGCAAATCAGGCAGGAAAATCTCCACCCCTTCATAATCCATCAAGAACCTAAAACCAGTAGATTAGCCATAATTCTGATCTTTCTCTGATTCTTGGGAATTTAATACTGACTGCTTCCAATGTTAGACAAATACAAGCAAAAAGAAATGCCTAGGCTCTGATAAACAAAACTGTTCTTCCATCAAGACAATAAAGGAGTCCTGTTATCTGCAGAAGATGAGATTGACTTTTTGTGTACAAAGTTGCTAGTGCCTTTTATAAGCTATGTGCTGTTGTTCTTCCTGGTTATTGATTGTTCCAATTAGAAGCCACGTACTGGTTGTATACACTTTGAAGAAATCTACTCTGTGTGTCTCTGAGCTCAGGAACAGAAAATGGGAGAAATGTCTCATGTTCGAGTGTGGTTTTGCTCTCAGAACAAGATCAAGAGTGTGCTGTGTCCAGATGAAGTGACCCTGTTCCAGCCTGCAAGAAACTGATATTGCTTTAATTTTTACATCTTCATGGAAATGTATTAGATCCTGTTCTGTGGTAGGGGAGTCAGCTCTGTTTCTGTAGACTTCAGTGGATGTTTCTGTTGCTCTTCATGCACATACATAGATAGGGAAACAGGTGCAGGCTACCTACAGTGATACAGATTGTGACATGAGAACCAAGTAGACCACTATTTGGGCTGTTTTGTCCTATATTGCAAATCCAACATCAGAACTGCTCAAATATTCACAAAATTATTCCTTTGTGCTTGAATTTAAAACATTAGCAGTGTCTTCTCTGCTGCAGCTGACCACTGATCTCTTAACTGTGGCTGTGGTCTCAAATCAGCTTATAGATCTGCTTTCGAAGCATGAACAGTGGGAGCCTCCGACCACTGAATCACCACAATGTTCACCTTATCTGCCAATAAGATGCACCAGCTTGTCCCAGTGTAAGAGTCTGCAGAACCTGTGACCACTTGATTTTGACTTTACACCTGCTATGCCTCCTTGCCTGTCTTGTGATAGAAAATAAAATTGTTTGGGTTTGCTCATTCATTGACATTTCTTCTGGGCCAACTTCAAACCTTGGTAAACTTGCAGTGTGTTACTGATCTTAAGATTAAAATTTCAAAGGCAGTATATATTAGTTACCACAGAGCCCTTTCAAGAGTAAAATAGCTCTGTATTTCCCTGTCAGTTTTCTGAGAGAACAGCCACTTGTTTCTGTGTGGGATTGCTGCTGGCTGGTGAGTGTTCTCTCCCTGATACAATAGGCAACCCACACTATTAAGCCTTTACGTTTGGCTGTCATTACTTGCCCTGAAATCTCACTAGCCATGTGCATTGGTATTTTCTGCCGCTATCATTTTTCTGTTTCACTCATTAACCCACTGGATTGATATTCTTCCTGAGAGCTGGCCAGGCCCTTGCCTCAAGTTGTGCTTAATGACACCTGGCAGATACCTTGTTTTCAGAAATTAGTTTAAGACCCTAATTATGTCAACCCAGGCAGGGAACTAATTCTGTCTTTCATGGAACCAATTATGGAAGTTCCAAAAAGAGGTGGGCAGGGGCACTTCCCAACCAATCAACCAAACCAAACTCACACCTGTCTAACTAAACATTAATAAGATGAATCATTATTACAGCAGTGGAAATGTCTCACTGTATCTTCCCTAGGTACATTCCAGTATCAACATCTCCGCCTTCTTCATCGCTTTTAACAATGAAGTCATAAGATAGCCCTGCATTTTACCAAGAGCACAGCACTACTCCCTTCTGAGACCTCCCTCCCCTTCCCGTTCATCATCTCTATGCCAACATTTTGTGGAAACTAAAAGAATCCTAATTATGTACAGATAAATTGTATTATATTTTTTGTACGTAATGTTTTGTGTAAATAGTTTGCCTTGTTCGGTTGTATGTGAGTATTGAAATAAACCCTGACATTTAGGAAACAATTAGTGGCATTTTTCTTTTCATAGTCCCCCAAAGTATGGTAATCCACTTTAGGATCCAGTTTCATCAGAAGAAACATGTGGGTGACCTGCCGGGTAAACCCCCACGACACATGTGTTTGGCCTTCTCAGGCCTCTTGAAGAATACGCCACACAGATGCACACAGATGAGGTCATCAGCTTTTATCAATACTTCAGTGGCAAATGGGAGCTGTGTGTAAGGAAAGTCGACCCAATTTTCTGTTTGAGGATTGAGTATCAGATCCTGACTGTGATGGATGGATTGGGTGTAGGCTTTCCCTCCTGTAGTACTCCAGATGTTACTCATTGTTGCTTTACAAGGCTTTTTGTCAGTGAATTGATAACAAACAGCACAAGCATGGCTAGATATTTGATCTGGCAAATCCACACTTTGCAGAAAGAACCATATTTCAATATCCATTCAATATTTCAGTATATTTACATTTCTTTGATACATGTAAAATATATGCATATATATGTATATATTACATTTGCACATATGACATGTATCTATAAACAGACATGATCCTATTATTTTATAGATACATACATGTATATATTTCAATGGATCAAAGCCCAAGACAGCTCAGTTAATATAGAGGTCAAATTTTAACATAATAAAATAAAGCTATATAAACTTAACCTACCAATAGTCATGAAGATTAAACTATTTTAACCCAAGAAATAAACTATTCAAAAAGTATTTAAAGTATTCCATGAAGAATCTCATTTTAACTATTAGTTTAAAATTAGGAAATATATGCTTTTGATTAATTTTCTTTTTTTTCATTTTTTAACATTCGTGGTCTCCACAATATATATTTTGATATTTAGATGACTTCACGCTGCTCATATATCCCTATCCTCTTAGAATGTTCTTCATTTGATCTTTAAAAAAATAAAGTTGAAATACGAATTGAATAACTCTGCACCTCTTAGAAATTTATAATGTAATTTTCTATTTAAAGTGTCTCTTCAGCCAAGTTTGAGAAGAACGACAGAAATGATTGAATGCACTGACTCCACGGCTCTAAATAGTTAATGTAAGAGGAAATTAACCTTAAAATAATCTCCAAAAGTATCATTTTCTGATATTATTATTATTATTAAGTGATGCTTTCATTAAATCACATAGAAATGATGTCTGAGAGGACCGTCTCTCGTTATTTTGCTATCATACATTTTCCTGCAGCTTTTGTCCCAGTTCAGTGATCTCAGAGCTAGGATCTGGAGCCCCGAGTTTGCATTTGCAAAATAGAGTCTGAGTATTACAAACAAGTAAAACCATAAGTACTAAACTCAGGACACAGGAAACTCAATGGTAGCCCATGTTAAGTCTTTCCTCAACAGAATAAATCAGAACTCCCAGAATAAATTAGAAAATCTCTAATATCAAAGAATGTTATTTATGTTTTAAAACAGTCTTAGCATAAATTCAGCAGTGATGCCTAAACTATGATTTTTCAAGTTTATTCAGGATTATATGAGTCAGGTATTTGTGAAGGTCTATTATTGGATTGTTTATCACAGTGACATGAAGTTAAAAATATAAAAACAAAAAACCACTTTCATGTTTTCTCCCCCCTTCACTTTCTTTTATTTCACTTCGAATTGCTGAGTCACCTCCTGCTTCCTGTTAGTACATGGATGTTACATGTTCCTTCTGTGTCTTTATGAAATCTTTCCATTCCATGGCGGCCATATCTCTCTTACTCTGAGAGAAGTGTGGTGATGGGAATAACACAATAGTGTCAAGGAAGCTCTCAGGACCACATATGTGCTCTTTTGGGGAGAAGATTTCAGACAAAATACATATCACAAGTTTCCTGCATCCAGTGTTGCAAAATATTAACTTTTCCTTTGTCTATCTGGCTTCCTTTCTAGAAATAAAAAAAAAAATCTTTCCTTTGGACACAAAGTTATCCCATAATGGACTGATTCCATTCTTTACAAATGGGGGAAAGAGAGTCTGCGGACCCTAAGTACCAACAGTGCTTTGTTCTCTTGCCTTTGCCTCTATAGATTTCTCCTTAACTGGAAAGACAAGTGAACTTTGTCTCTGTAGACACACACTCTCTCTGTAGACGTTACACCCACAGCATCCATAAGGTCTAACTTCTTTGGAAACTATTTCATGCACTGTATTTGCCCCATTCCCCATGCGTTAAGGAGGTAGTTCTATTCTTGTTCTAGAACTGCACATGTTCACAACATTAGAAATCGTTCAGTAATCCAGAGTGAGGTTAGAAATCGATAGGTGGTATGGTCCATGCCCTTTATATGGCCTGTTTTCTTGGCTTTTTGAGTCTTTATGAAAACAGTTCTAAAGAAATGAACCCACGAGATTTGGAGCATACACTGAACACATGCGTAACACCCAAGGGGGTCACTAATGAGCTTACATTTAAGATCACCTGGTACCTCCAAATTCAGAACCAAGTTAAAAGTAGAATGACATGTAACAGGGACACAGATAAGTGTAACTCTCATTTCCTCTTCCAAGAACCTTCTTCTTGCGGCACGAGACCATTATAAAAGCCACAAGCAGTCAAAGTTCAGAGAGCAACTGATCATAGGTGCCCAACCCCAGTGGATGCATCTACAAAACAACTCCTGTACCTAAAGCCCAAGAACTTTGGTGAAAGTGGGAGTGGAAAGATTGTGAGAGTTCTGACGTAACGCTGTCTATGACAGGGAAGCTATGCATAGGAAATCTCAACTACGAGGTTGCCTAAACAAGACTCCAACAACAGCTGACAAACCAATGTAGATGGGGCGATCTCACAGGGCCCCACTCCTAAATTAGGAACTACATGTAATTAATAACTGTTGAGAGAGGGAAATTTGGTTTTCTTCAGATAGTAGCCCCCCAGGGCTGGTTATTTAGTACCAAGTAGTCAGCCCCAGAAATGTACACTCAGGCAACATTGGACAGACTCAGCCGGTTGTTTTTATGCATTTATTCTTTGATGCGTATAAGCAACAACAGTAAAAGAGAGGAGGCCCTGACTTTGGACAGGGAGAGAAGAGGAGGGAAGAAAATTATATAATTATAATTGAATTAAATAAAAACTAGAATAAATATAAATGTATACTTTGCTTCCCACCTCTCTTTACCACCTAGTTTCTTATTAACTCATCTTCAACCCTCCCAGAGAGAAACAACAAGAACAACCTGGTTTAGTTTACTGTATTGTGGCCAAAGTGTATTTTGGGATCCAAGCCTCTCAGAGTTTTCTCGGTGAAAAAGATAGTGTCTTTGCTGTGTCATGTTCTTTCATAAGTCTTAATAGGTAGTTCAACAACATAATTTTTTGACACATGTTCTTAGCCTAAATATGTTACCTGAAATTGAGACCTGATATTTTGAGCCTATTAGTTTCATAAACATTTTGTTTGAAGAAAAGAAAGGCGATTTTTAGCAGGAGTTAGCATGCAGAGAGCTAGCCCCCGTAACTGAGTACTGTCAGTTACTAACAAATACAAAGCTTTATATCAGAGCACACAATGGGCTATCCTCATCTTTGTGCTTGTTTAAATAAGCTTCAAACTTGTACTTGAAATCAATTAAACCATAATTCTTTGGGAAAGATCACTAAGTTGTGTGTTTTACATTGAGAATATTGGGCAAATCATAAAGGCTTTGTGTAAACATCTGGTATACTCGTGAACTCAAGCAAGGACGATTCTCCATAGTCCCTGTATCTAGCCAATAAACATTTAAATCTAGATTCCATGTATAAGATAAAAATGTGTTACTCATCTTAGTGACTCTGGCTGACTGTTAACATAATGATTTCCACATCAACCAATTTCCCTAAAACTGTCATGATTTTATCTCTCTCTAAGGAGAAATAAAAACCCAGTGTGCATATGTAACACATTTATTCACGAAGCTGTTGATAGCTGTCTAGGCTCATCTCCTTTCTTATCTATTGTGAATAGTGAAGAAATAAACATTCACATGCAACGAGGGGCTGAGGGAAGCTGACTTAATGCCCCTTATGTATAGTCCCAGGAGCAGTACACATGCTTTAACTTTGATGAGGAACACCATACTGTTTTCCAGAGTAGGTGACACTTCCCCATCCACAGTGAAAAAGAGATTCCATGTTTCTGTGTTTTAACTAGTATTTTTTTTTTTTGCTTATTTTCTTGGTAACAGTCATCCCTACTGGCCTGAAATGGAATATCAGTGCAGTTTTAATATTTGATTCCCTAGTGGCCAACAAAGCAGAACAATTTTTCAAACATTTATTGGTTGCTTTATCTTTCTCTTTTGAGAAATGTCTACCCAATTCATTAGTTTATTTATTGATTGGGCGAGTTTTTTATGTGTATTTGATTTTTTTTAATTATCTGTGAAATTCAGATACTAATTCAATGTTGGAAATAAAGTTGGCAAAGATTCTTTCCCATTCTGCTGCCTCTGTCTTCAATCAGCTGATGTTTCCTTCACTGTGTAGAAGCTTTTTGATCTCCTGTGATCACATTTGTCAATCCCTGGGACTATTTTCCACATTTAGAGTTATTTCCAGAAAGGATTTTCATAATGGCTGTATCTTGAAGTATTTTACACTAACGGTTTTAGAATTTCAGGTCTTACATTGAATTACTGGGTTTATTTTGATTTTAGTTTTAGGCAGAGTGGAAGACATGGATTTAGTGTCACTGTGAATTGAATGTGGTAACTATGGATGTAGCTCTTTTCAAGGTCCTCGTTGCAAGAAGGAGGTACAGAATTGGCCCTGGGCTGTGTCACAATCTCATACCTTTCAGTTGGCCTTGATGATGTTTACTGGCTTTATGTTCCCCAGTCTCTGATCTACAGAACAAAGATGAAAGAGGATCTTATATCCCAAGGTTATTTCAATGACTCATTGACCTAACATACACAAAGATGATCTAAAAATGCTTGTCTCAGTCAGAAGTGCTCTCCTAATATGGGCATTCTTATAACTGCATATTCCACAACTCAGAGG